TTTGCCTTCACAGCAAAGCAGTCTTTTAAATAAATGTGCGTTCACTCCCTCTCTCGCTGGTTTGTTCTAAGCACTCAACCTGTCTCCCTTTGTTATGCAGAAACTTCTTAGACCTACACTAATGCTGGCTGCAGTTTCTATGCTAATTTAATCCACTTCAGCCTTTTGGTCATTACTAAAATTAGAGCTGCTGCATCACTTTTCAAATCTGTCTGCCATTTAAACTAAACGCTCTTGTGAGCTTTGCCTTGTTATCCTAGGTTTCTATTTAGCTATCATTTTTCAAAGTCCTGTAGTGATAAAGGAAGAGTGCCTGGACTAAATCTTGGTAGCAAAATAATTAGTAGTACTGCTCAGGAAAGGAGATCTTAAACTCAAAATTTTTTTTTGTTTTTTTTTCAGATGTGATGCATCAACAAGCCTTTGTACTGGCCACAGCTCAATATTAGAGACTGGCTAATTGTGAAGGAGAGGGGTGAGTGGCTTTCTAAGCTCAGTGTGTCATGTGTCTGAGCAGAGGCTTATGCTTCTGAAGCTGTGTTTTTAATTCCTTGTAATACTGGTTCCAGGAGTCCTAACTGTTGAATCTTAACCATGCTTTTAAAAGCAACTTACCAAATGGCAAGAGAAGCTAAAAGAAGAGTTTATACGTAGCTTAACGTGAGCTCAGAATCAAGTAGCAAAGGAACAAAGCGAAGCAAAGCATCTTCCGAAAGTTAACAGAACCACCCTAACCTGACTATCCTGATCCTCCTGTTTCTCTACTTCACAACTGGTATCCAGTAGGATTTTACAGGCCAAGTTTAATGTAAAAGATGCTAAAATGTAGTGGTTTGAGGAAAAGTGCAAAATCCCAAGAAGCAAAAATCAAAATGACTGGTATGAGATGACATAGTAAAGCTGCATTTTCATAGGGAGGGCAGATGAGGTGTGTTTTCATTCATTTTACCTTATTTATTTTCCAGAGGATGCAATTCAGAGCTCTTAATTTCAGTTAAGGTAAAGTTAAGATTAAAGTTTGGAAGAAATGGAATTAACTGGAACTCCTTTTTTTTTTTTATGCGTTCTTTAGACTAAATGTTGTTATTCTTACCTTGGACACTTCATTTTTTGAATTGTCCTGGAAGCCAAGCCTCCCTTGGAAGATGTATTTGAAGAGTGCATAGGCTAGGATAATCAGCTGAGCAGAGGTACACCGGAGAGCCTGTTCCAGCTGGCCAGTTACTAGTGTGTGCCTGCCAGACGGCCCTGTTCCTGCCTCACCCTACGGGGCCTTGTCTAATCTGCCTTTTCCTTATTGGTAATTGGATCCTGGTTGTAGGAATAAGAGGGAGCAGTGATGGAGAAAAGGGAAACTGATCTCTGAGCTGCAATTTTGTTGTCTTTTGTAGAACTCTTCCCCTACACCAGCTTCCGTTGTCCTTTCGTTTCATCTCTAAATTACTGAATGCTTGCTCAGAGATCTGTATGTGTTGTGAGCACGTGGAGGTCTGGAAGGGTGGGAGCAGGGAAAGGGAGGGAGGTAGAGGAGCAGGAAATCAGCTTTGTGTGGTGCATCACACACCATATACCTAAACCTGTGCTTTTTCCTCAGCTTGAATTTTTAGTGTTTCAGGAGCAACCACTTCTGAAAATTTTGCCTCTGTTTAAATTCTAGCAAGATATGGCGTGTGCATGCGTATGCACATTGGTGCACGCACACATGCGCGCACACACACATATATACACGCACCATCTAACTCAAGTTACTCAAGTTACACATGCAGCATCTATCTCTGGAACTTGATAATCAAAATACATTTTTTGTGACATTGCAATGCAAATGTTTGGAAATAGTTTAGTGTCTTCTCCTGCCAAGGACAAGATCAGTGCCTCTCTCAGCAATCCACTTTGTTAGCTTTAATTAAAATCATTTTTGTGGGAGGGTATAGAAGTGAAGTCTCCTTCCTGCATAGGAAGAAAGCAGGTGTTTTTATTAGTGTTGTCCACAGGTCCCAATAGAAGTGCCCTTATGCTAGGCACTGTATGTAGTGTGAGTGCTGCATTTAACTGATGTTGTGTGTTGCTTCCTTTAACCTGTACCTGAGGGCAGCCTATCTAATGGATGAAGGAACTATTATCAGTCGGTATTTTCCCTTTCCTTCCTGTGTTCATAACATATCATTAGTAAGCAACTAAGTGAACTGTGGCTCCCTTCACTCCTCGTTTTCACTGTTTAGGGTTTTGTGTCCTCATATAGTGGTTGGTTTTGGGTGGGTTACTTGAAGGTAGGTTTGCATTGAAATAGTCTGTTTTATGTGATTTAAACTGAAATGAGGAATTTCTTTTACATCTTGAGATGACACTGGTTTGTCTTGCGACTGATTCTTAGTCATGTGAATTTCTAGATCACTTTGGATCTACTTCTAGTATTAGTATAGGACGCTAAATAGCTGGCTACTGCATATGAGGAATTTGATTCATCTTCAGGATGGTTTGTCTGTACTTATTTTTGCATCATTGGTTTTAATGCCTTGATGGTAATGGACCGATGGATTGGCCATTTCCAGGGGTTTTTAGCCTGGAACCACAACACTGAGTAGTTGGTCATATTGCTGTATTTGGTGTTTGGGGCTGTGCGGCCTATAGCTGTTAGTTCTGGCTTTGAAGCAGCTCAGGTGAGGCTTAGGTCCTGGGGCCATGTCAAGAGCAGGGTTACATTGCTGTGGGAGATCTCTGGGTAGCTCATGTCTGGGAGAGGAGGTGAGCCAGAGAGGCTGCTGAAGCAGAGTTTGGGGTTGCTCTGGTACCCAGCCAAGGCCTGTTCCACAAGGGAGTGATGGGACCTCCAGGAAGCTGTTGTCATCTTTCCCTTATGAGCTTCTCTTGGAGTTCTTCCATCCCTCGGCTCTCTGACATCTGTCATATGCATCTTCTGTCCACAGGAAGCTTTTGATGCAGGGTTTCTCGGGTCAGGAAAGTTGGCGATTCACTGCTCCTTTGGCAGCCTCTCTGCATGTTGACTATCTTCCCTTTTATGGCTGCAGATTGAACGCATCATGTAAGATGTGGTGCTACTGGATGACCTGGTTGCCTTCTCTGTTTTTTTTGTCAGTAAGGTACCTTTCCCTTTGTTTATTTTGTGTTTTCTGGGAGGTTAAGTTCTACTGAATGGCCCCTCTTCAGATGAATTTCATGTTGATTTTTGTCCTTGTACTGTGCAGTTAGTTTCCTTTGTTCTTGTTCACAGTAGGTTAGTCGATTTCTGATGGTTTTATACTTGCATTTAAATGCGACTTCTCTTCATGTGGAAAAGATTTTCACAATACAATCAAACTGTCAGGAGGAGAGTTGATGGTAAGGTATAGACATTTATTTCTTTTTTTTTTTTTTGGAGAGGGGTGTGGGGGGCTGACTAGTAGCAGTCTAGGACAGCAAGAAGGGGGCACCTAACTGCAAAATACTGTGTTATACTGTGACATCTATGGGGGTTGTTCCTGGTCACGCTGCTGATAAACACGTACCCTGAAGCATGAAGGCTGATAGCCCAAGCAAACTTATTTCAATTCCTGTAGCTACAGATGACACTTGCATATAAAGAAGTACAAACATAAAAGGTTTGTCTTGGAAGCAACTGTCCTAGATATGATGGTAGATACACATGTAGTACATCTCTAGGGGTTTAACTAAGGGACTGACTGTGAGTTGAGCTCCCTATGGCCTAACCTTCTTTGGTAAAAAGCTTTAAGTGGAGGGAAGCTGATAAAAGCTGCATCTTCTACTACATGCAGAACAAATTGGGATAGGCTTGGTGACTTACCTGAACTGCTGACAGGACAGTGTTTCAGTTCTGATAGTGGTTCTCTTGTAGAAGAAAGACATCTCCTTTAGTCAGCAGTGGTTTTAACTGAGAATAATGAGACAATTGTCTAAGGCTGTAGGGAAGGATAAGAGGAGAGAGAGGTGAGAAGAGGATTGCAGAGCACTGTGAACCCCTGCATCAGGCCCTTGCAAGTCCAATGCCAGTGCTGCTTGTGAAGGTAGGGAGCTTGCAGTGCATGATGTGTCCCCAGGTTGCTTTCTCTTTTCACAAACAGCATGGTATATGAAGATGTCCAGCAGGAAGGTATGATGAGTTGTTTCCTCTCTGGATTGAATCAGCATGATATGTTTCTTCCCATTTCAGCTTGCCGTTGTCTTGTTCTTCACTTTGAATGAGGCTGTCCTGCTATCAGCATCTTCCTGTTGACCCATCAAATATCCAAAGTGGAGCACTACATTTGGGGGAGGGGGGGGGAATTTACCTGAGAGTGTAAAACAGAAATAAGAATGTGGAGTCATAGGTATTTGGATATATGCAAATGTTGTGTGTTTTTTTTTTTTTATTTTGATATAAGTGATGTGACTTTGAGAGAAGAGGGATGTGAGGGATCCATGCTTTTGTAAAGCCCAGAGTCATGGGGGAGGGACTTGGATCCAGTTCTTATTATGTGATTATAGTATTTTTTTAATATATAAAAGAAAGTAGAGTACCTGTGCAATCAGCTGTTTCTAGCTGTACACTTTCTAGGACTAGGTTCCATTCTTGGTGCTTTAATCCCAATCCTGCTCTAGCTATTGTGGTAGGTTTATGTCTAGCACCCAAACGGATTTGTTGCACAAAAGTAAGTTGCTCCTTGAACACAACTGCCCGGCTTTTGTTTACCAATGAGCTAGAATTCTTGTCCAAAGAAAATTCGGTGTTTGTGCGTTATTAACTGGAAGGATATTTGTCTATTTTCCTAGACAATGACCAGTACGTATTTTCAGGGTCTAATCTTGGGCTAATGACCTCAAAAAAGATCACAAGGCCTTCTGTCAAATAGAATTTATAGGTAATCTTAGGTGAAGCAGCTGGGACTAGTGCAGTCTGAAATGTCTTTAAAATCCAAGTGAATTTAGAAAAACATTATTTTCATTCCATAGTAAGGAAATAGACTTTTTAAATGTAAATTTCTCTCTCTTTTTTTTTTTTCCTGCAGGGAAATTCAGCTGCTGCGACGATTACGGCACAAAAATGTCATCCAGTTGGTAGATGTGTTATATAATGAAGAAAAGCAGAAAATATATCCTTTTATTTTCACACAGTTGTCGATACAAAGGTTTGAATTCTTATTTTCTGCTATCATTATAGTGCTGCTTTTGTTGTAGTTAAGGCCCTTTTGAATGTTTCTTAAGCTTCAAATTACTTTCACTCTTATTAACAAACATTCTGCATGTCTGGAATACTTTCCACGCAAGTACATTTTCTTAAGTTTCTCAACTTCCCTGTTAGGAAATGAAGCATTGTCCTTAGGTTATAGATGCAGGATTGGGGTAGGGGAGAACTGACCCTCAAATACTAGTTTTATTGTGTGACCTTCAGCAACTTGGAGATGAAGATAGAACTGTGGAGCTGTAGTTTCTAACCTCCTGTCCTACTAGTATATATTAGTGCTTTATTTTCTAAAGGTGGTTCCTTTGATTTTGCTATGTGAAATCAGTTCTTCCTTGTAATATCTTTCTTTTGCTACCTTTGGCAATGGTTTAGGTGGTTCCCCCACTCAAAAAAAAAAAAATCCACTTGTTCTCCGGCATACAGATGTCTGCCAGCTCTTCTCCCCCCCGCCCCCTTCTGTTTGGAGGGGCTGTGTACTACTGTCATGCTGCCTTTTCTAAAAGTAGGCAGTTAGTATGCTTTGCTGCTGATCGTCCTTAACAAGATAAGACAAACTCCTAAGCGTATCCTGGCCTCCCATGTTTTTTGTTGTTGTCCCTTTTGATAGTTCTTTATTACAAGCTTTAGGTCACTTTAGTCATGAGAGATTGGAAGCATGCTGCTCCCATGAGATGTGCAGCCCAGCTTTTTCAAACTAAATTGTTCAGCTTCTGAAACTAAACTGTGGCTTGTGATCTCAGTGCATCTTTCAGACTTCAAAATGAAATTGCATGTTGTACCGTGTCCCCCCTCATGCATAGGTGCTAACCAGTGAGCTTTATATGCCTTAACTTGCAAGTGAAATAAGAAGTGAGGAGCTGGATAGTTTCTAATGTCTGCTACACTCAAAGTGCATTTTGACTTCAGCCACTCTGTAAACTTATTGAGTTGATCTGTTGTAGTACATGTTAAATGATTGCTTTTATTTTTGACAATGGCTTCTATATACAGTGTTCTACTTACAGTATTTCAAAAAATGGGTAACTTAATTGTGTGCTTTAATTAGATCACATACTCTGTCACAAAATCATTAGTATTAAAAAAATCATAACTCTCATTTATATTTTGTAGCCTTAACAGACCAAAGGGGCTATAATTCAATTACTGTCTGTAGAAAGATACCATTTAATTAGCAAGAAACTGGGATGCTAAGTGAGAAGTGAGGGGGGGAAAAAGAGCCCAAGAGAGACCTCGTGTGTTGGTAACAGGTGATGACAACACAAAATGGTCCTGCAGAAATATCTTTTGACTCCTGTAAGCAGGGAAAGATATTCCTTGTTTTACTATCCTGAACAGTGGTGTTTGAAAAAGAACTGATTGTTCTATCAGTACTTTCTGCTTGTGAGGATGGGTGAACTTTGCTATTTTTGTTATCACCTGCTTCTACACTCTGAGAAAGCTTAAGCTTATTCCTATACCTGTTTATTCTGTGCACATAACTGACAGTCATTGGAGAAATCTGCTTTCACTGGGGTAGGGAGGGAGAATTTATCTGTAGTCTTGCTAAACCTTACTCCAGCTTCTCATTGGCACGCCCGCTGCATGTGCATCATGTTCTAGGATGTGGTGGTACAAGCACTTGTGCAGCTGCATGGTAAACAGGTTTGGGAACAGATCTGGTTGAAAAGTCACTTTATTTTTTATATTGGCTTTTCTGTTAGGTCGGTTCCCATATCTGTTTTACTCTGTGGTCATGCAAATACTTATATTAGTGCCTTGCAGGAAACAATGCCAGATGGAAGTTGAATGGCTATAGGAAAGTGAAGTCAACTGCATCTTCCCTCCCCTCACTAATACAAAATTTTTCCTCATTTCCAGAATGGCCATTATGGCATTTAAAACTGGCCTGTAGAAGAAAGGAGGATTCTATTCTTACATGAGTTTTCTTCTGTCACTGTGATATAAGTGAACTGCAGGCTTCAGCCATGCCTGTGCTTGGAAAGACAGTGTTTTAACAACTTGCCTATCTAGTCAGCACCTTCATTGATTTTGGTGAAGGGAAAGTTATGATTGGGTTAAAAATATCAACCACCTTTAGTATTTAATGGGCTGCTGTGGCTGGGAATGCAGAACTGGTGATGAACAGAGAACTAATCCAGGCAGAAAATAAACTCAATTCAATAAGCAGCATCCCAGCTGGCACCTGCTCTTGACAGCATCTGCTACCAGTATGTACAACTGTGCATGGGAGCCAAACCCTATTCTTGAAGAGAATCAAGAGCTTCAGTCTTCTTGGGTCATCTTTAATAGACTTGCATGGTAAAATGTTCCAGCCTCTATTCTAATCTGGCTAATCAAACAAAGATTGATCAGCTACAAAGGAAGAGGTGGAAGGAGAGTCTGGCAGCTAATGAAACCAAAATCATATTGTCCTTTGTAGAAAAGAATGAGCTGAATTTTGCTTTCTAGGAGCTAGCCTATATGATCTAATGTTAGTGTCAGTCTCTTAAAGGGTAGTAGTAGAGTTGCTGTCTTCTGTGCCACTGTGATGTAAGTAGTGCATGTGTTTCTTCAGGAGTTAAAAATGGTAGGAGTGAAATTTGGGAGCTCTTTCTGCTAGTCTTGCTTCTGCTATTGATTTACAGGGTGACATTATTGCGGTCTTACTGCTGCAAAAGTGATGGATGCTGTTGCCGTGACACAGGAGAGGGAGGTGTTCTGCCTTAGAGCACAGGGTCTTGGAAGATGTGCAGAGCTAATCAAAGGTTCAGTGACTGATGGGAGGATTTTGGGAAGCCCCATGCAATCTAAAGCTCTTCTGCCAGTGGTTTCCTAAATTTTCTGGTCCTTTCCAGAGCATATGTCTCACAAGCATGACAAAGAAATGTGACAATGCTCCCAAACTTCATTTCTGTTGAGGTCACATCCTGCCTCAGGTCTGACAACTGAGTTACTGCTGATGATAAAGCAGGACAACTATTTTCTTTTGGGTTCCTTGACCTCTTCCTATTCTTCAGAAGGTGCAGCACAGCTCAGGTTCTACTTCTCAATAACATGTTTATAGCAGGTAACAGAACTGCCTATGCAGCAACTCTCCAGTTGCGCTGAAACAGGGCTACAGTCCTCACAGAGCATGTGTCTGAAGTGTTTAACCTTGAAACTTCCTTAACTCTGCCTTCACGTATATGGTGATGGAGTACTGTGTGTGTGGGATGCAGGAAATGCTGGACAGTGTCCCAGAAAAGAGATTTCCAGTTTTTCAGGCTCACGGGTAAGTGCAGTTTTACTACTTAAACTGCATCAGTCTCTCTCACCACTGCTGCCTTCCTTGATTTCAAGAGTATGCTCTGCTCTGTCACTTAGTCTGCTGACTGTGCTTTAAAGTAAAACTTGCTTTGTATAAAAACTACATCCTTTATCATTCACAGAAGAAATGAAACTAATGGAGTGGTGGCAGGAAGAGCCATTGGGCATTCTGGGAAACTAAAGCATCTTTTTATGCCTTTCTCTTTGTCACTTTTGTTTTGGTGCATGAGACGCACAGGGATCCTTTACTGCAGCTCTGCTGTTCAGCTAAGATGGGTGCATTGGAAGAATCTCCAGAGGACTTGCCCTATCTAAATGAGAGGCAAGCTATACAGTTCAGTATCAGAAAAGAGATTAAAGGTCTTTGGGTGGGATTAAGGATCAGTAATATCTAGCGTGATCTGTTAGCTTGTTTAGTTATTAGGCAGGCTGATCCATAGACCCTTTCACTGTGCAAGTAAAGGAACCTTAGTATTCTGGATATGACAGTGCAAAGGTTATTATGTTTAACAAATCAGTGCTAACCCTCAAATCTGTAGTAACTACATATTTGTCCTTGAATACAAGGTGTTTAAGTGAAATATATGTACATTAAGTCAGATAATCTTTCTGGCTATGATGGGATAAGGCATGTGCAAGCTCAATTATTGTCAGGCTGTCAATAAATAACGCTTGTTACTCTATGATAATGACCTGTCCATAGCCTTTGACTAGGTCAATGTTGGCTTTGCCCAGCCAGTAAGCTGTACCAGCAAAACACTCCTTTAGGCTGAAGAAAACTTCATTCACCCCCTAGTAGAGCAAGTTATGCCACTGGGAGTGCATCTTTTACTAGTTTAATTTAGCCTAGACTAAAGCAACCTGTGTAGTTTGTGTAGACTGAATGAACTATCACATCTGTGCCAGCTTAGTGCTCTGAGCTCGCAAAATATGCGGATTTGCGGAGAGAGCTTTGGTGTAGAGGAGCCTAGAGTCCCAAGAGGCTAGCACACTGGTGCTGAGCTCTAGCAGGTAACTTCTGACTACTTTTCCAGAAGCTTATTAAGTACTGCTTACTACATACACACCACAGTTCAGTCGCAAGTTCCTTAGCCTTAAAGGTTAATGTATTTCCACATTGCATGCAATAACAGTGTTCTCATGTATTATCAGTAGCTCATTGAGAGTTTCTGGAAGTACTTGATTTCTTTTTCTTTGCAGGTACTTTTGTCAGCTTATAGATGGCTTGGAATATTTGCACAGCCAAGGGATTGTCCATAAGGATATAAAACCGGGGAACCTCCTGCTAACAACCAATGGGACACTAAAAATATCTGATTTAGGCGTAGCAGAGGTATGTGAAAACTGCAGCAAAGTCAAGAATGTGCGAAATATGACATTCTAGAATTAGGTCACTTTTGTGATATGAATTGATATACTCTGTGTTTATACTAGACTTTTCTGTTAAACTTGCTATGACTCTAGAATGATTTTTGCCAATTGCAACAGTGAATATTCAGCAAAACATTTCTATCTCATTGTTGAAAACGGCACAAAACTTCCCCCCCAGGAAACGTACAGAGGAAGATATCCATCTTAGACACCTCAAGACCCAAAACTGTGGTGAAATTATATTTAACTACATAGTGCTCATACAATGGAAATTATAAGGCTACCTTTGCTAGGAGTGGTGGAGGGAAGTGTCACTGGCATGCAGTTGTTACATTGGCATATATGCTCATGCTTTATAAGTAGATGTTAGTAGCAGAGTTCTCTCTTTTGTTTCTCAGGTGAATCTTTTCTAACAGTTGTAACTGGTGTGCCTTGAGTTTGAAAGCAATCAGTCACTTTTGTTGCAGGCATTGCATCCGTTTGCAGAGGATGACACGTGCAGAACGAGCCAAGGGTCGCCAGCATTCCAGCCACCAGAAATTGCCAATGGCCTTGATACCTTTTCAGGCTTTAAAGTAGACATCTGGTCAGCAGGGGTCACACTGTAAGTGTCTATGCAGCATCCAGGAATTGCAGTAAGAAATTATAATCCCCCAATAGTTCAAACTTGTGCTGTCTGGGGGGTGTGTGTGTGTGTGTGGAGAGGGGGAGTGTCTCTCTGGCTCTGTTTTGGTCCCCCTTCCTCGGACAGGTAGGTATTCCTCAAAGCGAGTGCTGAAGAAAGTAGTCCTAACTCCATGTTAGAATAAGTTTATATCAGCTACTTCTCAGTGTCTGGGATACAAGCACTTCATGGTTTCCACTGTTACAGTAGCTGAGTATCTCTCCAGTATTTGTTTTTAAAGGTTTCTTCTGTCCCAGCCTGTCAGGGAAATACCTTGGTGGTTTTGACACACATATGACTGAAGAGGCTGTGATAATGGAAGTCTAAGTTAAGAGGCATTCTAGATACAATCAAATTCTCATCTTTGAGTTTCCTCTTGGTTTCTTTTGGTTTGCTTCCTCACTTTAAGAATTGAGCACCTGTGTTGTGTGCTTTTTCTCATACAGCTTCTCCTTCTGCCTTTACAGATACAACATTACAACGGGTCTTTACCCCTTTGAAGGGGATAATATCTATAAGTTATTTGAAAACATCGGGAAAGGTGACTACACAATTCCAGAGGATTGTGGTCCTCCACTCTCAGACTTACTGAGAGGTGAGTCTTCCAACCGACTTTAAATAAAAGATTGAGTAAAATCTGTAGATGCAACAAATGCTCAGCTTGCACAGCACTGGGAAAGACCTCTTTTCTATGAAGGTATGAGACTGTATTAGAAAGGGAGGTAGGCTTATGAAGCTTATGATAAGACTTTGAAGGCTCTCTAATGTGATATTTTCCTGAGATACGTTAAACGCTTGATGGGTTGCAGTTGCTATTCTTTATAGAATCATTTCTTGCATTGTTTCTTCTCTAAAGTTTTTAAACCGAAAGGCAAAGCTCAAAGAGGTTAAATTTAAAACAGGATCATAGCATTGATGTGAGTCTTGCAAATGAGAACGCTCAGAGTTAAAGTCTTTACTCGAGCTTTCTCTAACGCGAAATACTGAGTAGTCAGGTTCTGCTGTCATTCCTCATTGGTCTCTGATCTGAATTTATTTTCCTCAGTCTGCACCTTTTCCACTCCCCAACCCCAATTTATTGTTGCAGGGAGATTGAAACAAAGTGACTTGTGCCTGTTTTACACAGCAGGTTGGTGATAGAAACAAGAATGGTACTTGCTGGGTAGGAGTAGAGATTTTTTTGGCTGGTTGATTTTTCTGTCTTTTTTTGTTTCAATCACTTGTTGCAATAGTTTGAGGTTTGATGTTGAACAGTGTCTCTACTTACATTTAAACTTTAATAGCTGGGGCAGCAGTTATGCTCTGTATAGCAGCTAACTTGATGTCTACATGGTCACAGATGGGATGTGGTTCTAGCACTTGGGAGATCTTGACCTGAGACCAGACTTCCTACCAGCTCATCAGCAGTGAAGCAGCCAGGCTGCTCTGATGCTCCCCAGCCCTCAGCATGGGCTTGCTTACTTTTCTTTGTCTTCAGCTGTTTGAGAAAGATCACAGACTACAAATATGAAACGAGGCTTTTTGTCTTGTTTTGAGTTTGTTTTTCTAGTTTTTCTACTACAAGTAGTTAAGATGTAAAAGTGTGGGTGAGGGGCTTTGGAGCTCTGTAAGGAAACTGAGTCAGCTTCACTTCTGCTGTCAGCAATGTCATCGGGCCTGCTCACGATGCTTGTGTGTTATTGCTAAACCAGAGGGTTGTCTTACTATGCTGTGTCCTCTGACATGGTTACAGTGCTATTGCAGTTTGTGACTATCCAAAGCGTTAACAGATTTGAAGCGTTTTATAGCTGCAGTTTATGCTACGAATTGCAGCTGTTTTAACTCTGCAGTGAGGACTGCATTGTCCTGGGGTTCCTGGCTTCTGCGTGGATGGCTGCAGGGAGCTGGAGCTCCAGCCTGGAGTGAATTTCTTGCCCTGTGTTGCCTTCACTTTTGCTGCAGGCGGGGCCCAGGCGCTCCGCTGGGGACGTGGGTCCTCGCAGCGCTGGTTGTGTCCCCGGGCTGCGGCGGCAGGTGGTGCTGTCTGTCTGGCGTCTGCCTGCCGCTGCTGGCCTCAGGGCTGCTGGGCCGGAGATGGCCCCTCCGGCCCCCCATCTCCTCCTCCATGCCCACCTTTCTAGGAGGTGGTGGACCCCCTCACACTTCTAGACATCTGAGAGTATTTTAGCTTATCTGGCTCTATCCTGATTAAGAAATGTCATTTCTATGCATTTCAAAAAGCATTAACTAGCTTTAACAGCTTTCAGAAAACATTACATAAGGCACAGCTACAAATTGCACTCAGCGCAGCTGGTATCTCAGCCGTTCTGCTGAGGCTAATGTGGCTGCTGCTTAAGGCCCAGTGCTTCTGACCGATGTGTGTTTCATGTCATATTCATATGCCCCAGGGAACATTGTTCTAATCTACATGTGGTGTTTGGTTTGCGGATGCTGACTCAAAACACAGCCTTTTCCATATGAGCTTGGGAATTGCCCAAATGGAGTAAATCCAGTGGTCCATCTAGACTGGCAGCCAGTTTCCTAAAGCATCCAGCAGAAGTCATTTGAGGCTTGTGATAAGCCTCTCTACTGCACTTACTGTTGACCCCCAGGGAAATGTGTGGCAATTGGTTTTCTTTTCTTGTCCTCAGGATATTGATAGCTTCAAACCTTATGCTTCGTTAGCAGAATAGCTCCCTTTAGTTCTTGTCTCATCCCTGGACGAGGCCTGCAGTCAGCATCTCCTACTTCTCTCTCCTCTGCCCTGTTTTAAACAGAGGCGTCTTTACCTGAGGCCCTTTTATGTCCAACACTATCTTTTTCAGCCTGTTTGAGTCACTTTCTTCACCTTGGCTGCTATCTGTCTTCATCCCTACTGTATTTGGACAGTACGGAGCTGCAAGTCAGGGTGCATTTGGAAGGGCAGAGGAGCTTGTTTGGTGGGAGATATCTGTGTCTGTCTATCGAATTGACTGTTTCTCCCAGGGCAGTGGGAGGTCCTGAGGACTCTTTTCACTCTTCTCTCATTCCCTCAGTCCCATCTGAGAACGTTCTCCCACCCCTCCTCTTGTTGTTTGCCTCTGTTATATGCTAAAAGCTAGCAAAAACTCCTGCCGCTCTCCTTGTTTGGTTTGGCACACTTACCTGTTTCTAGAGGCTGGAGTACCCAGTGGACCTGAGGCGATTACATTCTAGAGTGGTATTTCCCTAACCCCCTGAACTCTGCGGAGGTCTAAGTACCTCCGCAGACCAGCTGATAGCAAGGCATACGTTGAAGACCAGGGTTGAGCCTTGCAATAGTGATACTAGGTAGCTGTGGTGACAAAAACTGAATGTTTTATTTTGTTCCTGTTTTCCTCCAGAACATCTGCATTTCCTAGTAGGTGCCTGCTACATCTGCAGTTGGTTGAAACTCAATCAAAACCTGCAGGCCAGATATTGCCAATGGTTTTCTGATGCTTTTATATGAGCAACATAGACACCCTCAGCTCAGTTCTGTCTCACTAGAGACTTTGTTTTGCCTTTGCATTGCTTTTAAGATTGTTGCAGCACTCTGCAGTGCTGCAAGCATTTGTTCTGTTTTTATTGTGAGGAAGGATTCAGTATGTTGTTAAGTGCTTATTTCCTCTCTGGCTATAAGCACTGTGTTGACCATAGTGCCAATTCAGGTGTGAAGCAAAACTAAAATACACTTTTTAAAGCTTTTCATTCTCCTTTTGACTACCTTTGTGGCTGTTTTTCATATTTTTTCCCCCTTGAGCTTGCTTTTACTTTGTCCTTCTTTCCAGAGGAAACAATTTAGAGGACCTAAAGCTTCTGTGTTATTTAACTTATAAAGAGACTTGCATGATAGTATATTTCAACAGATTAGTTGGGATGCTGCTCTTCTTTTTGTCTCCCTAATCAGGGATGAAGTTTTATTTATACTCTTCAGTGATGGAAATTAGAAGGCTAAAGTACTGTTCTGGCTTCTGTTTGTTCAGCCAGTAAAGATGTGTCAGAGTGGAAGCATTTACAAATAGCCTTAAGGCTCTGCTGTCACCATCTCTGTGTGACTTATCAACTCATATGCAGTTTATTTCTGGACCAAAAAAGCACAAGGTCAGCTTTTCTTCCTCCTCTTTTTAATGTACTTTTACTGAAAGAGAAAGTTTTGAGTCTGAAGTCTGTGTTGGACATCTGGATTTATTTCCAGGCTCTGGTACAGACTTATACTGTGACTTGGGACAAGTTCCTTAGTTTCTCAGCACTTTGTTTTCTCGTTATGTATAACTGCCCTGACTTTTCATTATGGGGATGCTAAGGGTGGGTGTCCCCTGATGACAGTGGGATGTTTTAATACAGTAGTGGTGGGGAGGCCCCAGAGCCAACAGTCAGCAGACTAGTATCTACAACCCAGGAAGTCTTCTGAATTGTTTGATCAAAGACTCAGATTTGCCCGCAAAAGGAGGTTTCCAGTCAGAACACTTGGCTATGCTTGTAGAGGATGAAGAAGGAGAGCTTCCTGCTTCGTTTTACAGGTTGGACTTATTTTACTTGTATCAGTTGTTTTCAGTGCTCTCCGGAGTTGGAGATTCTGATATGAAATACAGGTTGAATTTGTTCAACTCTTACAGTTAAGAGACTTCTTCCTGCCTCTTATAAAGCCATACCTAAGGTTGTTCTGTGTGCTAAAATTGAGATATTCTACCATACATACGATAGCCTGTGCTTGTTCAGGACTGTAAAAGCGTGTGGGCTGGAGTCTGTGACAGGAGCTCAAGGCAGATTTGTGGTCTCCAGTTTCCTGACTGCCACTTGACATAATTTGAAAGGGGGTTGACACTGCTAGAGTACTGTAATGGGCATAATATCCCATGTATGGGCACAGTGAATCCTTCCGAAATACCATGGGAGTAGGGGTTTGTGAGTTAGGCATCCTTCTGAAGAATCTCACTGTTACAGTGTGTCTCGTCTCTACTCCCAGATAAACTGCATGGAAATCTTTACCGTAAATGGTAGAGAGTATGTGTGGTTACTGTGGGCAGACACTCTTAGATGACTTGACTGGTGAATAGTACATGATGTTTTGTCTTTATGAAGTCTCTTTTCAGTACAGGACTTCAGCCACAGAACTGCCATGAGTGAGTCATACAGCTGAATACATGAATGTACATTTTCAGTGCCTGGACTTCCCACTTTCTTGCAAGCATTGCCCAAAATACAATCCTGTTACTGAAACTAAATTTTCTTTTTGCTCAGTTACCTTCTTTCTGCCTTTTTAATTGCCTGTCTGAGAACAATATAGGTCTCTGCTGCACCGTAGCTATTTGTAATTGGCGCTGTTATTCCCCTTTTAATAACTTGCCTTAGAACCTTATCCTCTGTTCATACTATTTCATCTGGCAAATGCCTTAAATCTGTTTAGCCCTCTCATTCCTCAAATAATATTTGAATGGATGCATGTTAATTTTTCCTTTGGCCAATATAAGCTGTTTATGAGAGCGTTCGAACTCCTGTTCCGCAACACCCTAGCGAAATTAATCAGGTGTGCACGCAAACTGAAAGAACAAAAGCCTCCAGACGGTCCCATTGTACCTGGGATTTTTATGAAGAGCTTGTGCAGTTTTGTCTGCTTGGGTGTGCAGAAGTTCGTCCAGAGACTGATTCCTAAAGCATCTTCCTGAAATGTTTTCTTAAACAGAAGAGTTTAATGTAGAGGTGCTTTCCTGACTTACCTGTTTCTGATTGCATTAATAAGATAACCTAGCCAGTGCTAGCTTTGGTGTCCCTCCCCTAGACTTAGTATAAAAGCTCTTTGCTGTAGTGCTGTTTCTTTTTTAACAAAAAAAAAAAGGCAAACAACATAACCCAAAAAGCCACAGTTTGGGCAGTTCAGCTGTGAAGTTGCTTTTTAGTACTCTTCCTAATAGGACATTTAATTACATATGAGATTTTATTCTTTGAACTTTCCCATCCTATTTTCCATTTTTTTTCTGTAAGATGGGGAAGGGGGAGAAGACTCCAGGGGCTCTTACAGACATATTGGAATACAGAAGAAATGAGGAACACCCATTGCAAGAAACTTCATTGTGGCAAAAGTCCCCTGATAAAGGCTATATTCAGTATCAAGCCAACACTTTTTTTAAATGATGAGTTTACTTCATAGTACTCATCAAAACAAGGATTTTCCCTAGCGTCATTGATTTCTGCAATAGCAATGGCTAAGGTGAGTAAATGACTTGATTAGACCTACCACAGCACTGGTGCAGCGCTTTGCAGGCCAGGGAGACTCGATGAAATCCCCTCTCTGCTCGAGGATCTTCCCTATTTCTCACCTTTGCTGTAAGACCATCTCAAAATATGCTTCAATGGTGTTCCTCAGGAGCAGACTTAGCAGCTGAACTGTTTAGCTTTTAGCACTGTCATTAGCATTGATCACTTCCTGCCACACACTCCCAGTTGCTGTCTGGAGCTGCATGCTGGGCTGCTGGTTGCTTGGTTGTATGGCTTTAGGCTGTTCATGGGAGAAAATGCCCATTATAAGGTAGAGTTCGGGCTCTTGAGTAGCAGGCTATGGCTGTAGCTCCCATCTAGCTCAGTCATGTAACTCCAGCATAGTCATGTGGTGATTGATTTTTTTTTTTTTTAAATTTCATTTTTATTTTAAGATCTCAGCAAGGCAGGTATAAATTTCTGGTATACTCTGTCTAAAGGCTTGAACTCCTGTGGCCAGATATTTGTGATGCACACGAGTTTCTCTAACCTGGGGAAGATTTCCGATGTATTTTTTAACCTACTTCATGGTGATGTAATGCTCCTGTGGATCAGTGATTGCACCATATATCTTTTGGTACCAAGTCTGGCATAGAAGTGTCTGGAGGGACACACAACAGGCTTTCTGTTTTTTACAATAGTCCCTAGATCGTTACTGTTAGTCACATAATACAAACTGACCTGACAAGGAAGATATCATTCTGGATCTGTTTTTGCTATCATATGTGCTGTTGCTGTTTTATTTCTTCCAATACCTTTGTTCAACAGTACTGCATAAACCCATCTGCCTGGCCACCTCGTTTGAACTACAGCGTCTCTTTTCCAGCCCTCTGTTCCCAAGAGTCCATGCAAAGATATTTTCTGTCCTTGTCTTTTTCACTGCGTCCTTACGCTGGTTCTCCCAAGCAATCTGCACTGTTTACTCCTTATCCTGACTCTTTCTTTTAATCCTGTTTGACAGTTGTGTTCTGCTCCCTTGCTTGCCTTCTCTTCCAGTTGCTGCAGACGGTGTCTTTCTGTTCTCTCACCTCTTTCCAAATCTTACTCTTCATACTACCTCTACAAGACTCAAAGTTGTTAGTGCTTCAACAGCAGGGGGTTATCATCCAGTAAAAGCAAAACTGCTTGTAGTGTACAGCAGTCAGACTCTGTTAACATTCAGTAGATGAATACATTCTTGGAAGTTTCGTTGGAGGATATCTTGGATGCTGCTAAATAAGACTTGTTAGGTCCCATTTGGCTAGTTTTTGAAGAATAGGGCAGGATGTTCTAGTTTTTCTGTTGAGTTGTAAAGATTTTTAAAGCCAGTGGAGCAGAGCAAGCATCTCATGAGTCTGTTTTTTCTTTTTTAAGCAATCCACCTTCCTCTCTCCTAGATCGTGTGGTAAGAGAATACAGATCAGCCACTCTTTTTTTTTCCTTTTTTCTTCCCCACCCCAAACTATTTTCTTAGCAGCTGATGCCACAATTCAAAATTCTGGATAGGGCAAAAGGGTGGACATCAGGATTAATTTTTTTTTAGTTCTCCTTCAGTTGTACTTTCCAAAGAGAATGTCACTAGAAAGGAGTTTCTGGGATGCTGAGCAGCTGGATATCTGCCATGCCCAGGGCTTTGACTCCTCTGTGGAGAAAGTTGAATAGCATTATCTGTGAAACGAGAGAAATCTGTTCTTTGCCTGGAGGCATGCTTGGGTGGATGACCCAGGGCTGTACAAGCCTCTGTCCCTGCAGTGTGAAGGAGGGAAACATCATACCCACTTGGCAGGTGGGGAAACTGAGGAACAAACTTGTTCGCATCTGCTCAGATGGTCAACAGTGCAGTTGGGACTTTGTGCTGAACTTTCTGTCCTGTTGGCTGATGCAGCAGACTCTTCCTGGAGGTAAAGGCTCCTGAGGCTGCCAGAGGGGCTGGACACCCCTGGTGCTGTTGGGGGGGAGGGGGGCAGGGCAGAGCTTTATGCTTCCTGTCTTCAACTTGGCTGAGAGCATCTGTGATCACACCTGGACTTTTTTTTTTCCTTCTTTTCAGGGATGCTTGAATACGACCCAGCCAAGAGATTTTCAATACAGCAGATAAGGCAGCACAAGTGAGTGTTCAGCTTCTTCCTATTAGTCATTCTCTTTCTGCTTCTGATGCTAATGTACCTGTGCTATTGCTCTCACTCATTTTTTCCTTTTGACAGCAGACACATGGAAGTCACTAGATACCCTTCCTCCAGCTCTGCTGGAGCTCTGGCAGCCTCTACTTGGCTTTTTTTCCTCCTATTAGAGCATCCGGTTAAAGCATTTGAATTGCTAACCGGTAAATAGTGAATGTGTTGAAAATATGTTTCTAGCGTGACTGGTTCTTGATAATTAAGGGTTCTGGATAATTTTGTTTGAGGGGCCAGCTAGTACTAATGGAGCAGAGGAACAGGGGTTCCTTTAAAGCTGGGTTTTTGAAGCAGGAATTTGTTTAGGTTTTTTTTAGCTTTTTCTTTCTGGACAGTCTGAGAGAAATCCTTTGGTATTTGCTCCATGTGGAATCAGTATGTGGAGAAGTCTTCTAGGACAATGAGAGAATTTTTCTTCATCTCTTTAATGTCATACTGCTCCCTCCCCCACATCCTCCCTCTTTATCCTTGCCATTGTCAGAAGGGGAAAGGCCCGTTATCTCTGAGGGTTTTTTTAAAGGATCTGTTTGAACATGCTGCCTCTGAGCAGAGATTTCCTGGGTGGATAAAAGTACAAGAACAAAAAGCATCATAAGGATGCTTCAGCGCGGAGGCTGCATTAGCTTATCTCCTATTTGAATAGGAAGTGCTTCTGAGGACACGCAGAGCTGCCTGCTGGACTGCAGCTGCTCGGCAGAGGTCCTGCCTACAAGCTTGCCCAGAAAGCTTTTGGGAACCTTGTAAAAACAAGGCTCTGATCCTGTAAGGCAGTGGGCCTGTTCTGCTTGTGCTGCCTGCAGACAGGAAGAGCACTATTTTCTTGTCTTGTCTTTGGAAAAAAACAGCAGTGATAGCCATGTGCTGTCAGATGATGATCCCTGGTAGATGTTACGGCATGAAAGGCATCTGCAGGAGCCACAGAACAAAACCAGACAGGCTTGAACCGCGTTGCCATTCTGCAGAGATGCAACTTCAACCTACCCCAACTAAGATCAAAGAGGGGAGAGCACAGGTCTTAAATAGATGCCTGGTCAATTAATTAAGCAGTCATGCTGACTCTTAATAGTAGCCAAGCACTATGCATTGGTGGTTTTCACTGGGTCTGGGAGGTGATAGGAGCAGGCATTTGCTTTACAAGAGTGCCTTTTCCTATGCACGTGCTTCCCGGTAATAGTATTTTATAAGACTGCTTTGAGGCTGGCCTCTTAAATGCTGCACGGCATTTAAAGCACTGCAGAGAGCTGATCTTTGGGACAATGGCTTCTGCTGTTATTGACTGTTTTCCCTCTACCACTGAGGACTAGAGTGCTCCAAGTTAGACAGCAAAGCACTGTATGCTTTTCTTGTAATAACTAGCTTTCCTGTTTGTTACAGCTAGGAGCAGGGTGGTGATCAGCTTACCACACAGTCAAACTAGTGCTTTGTCAATAAACACTATAAAGGAGCATGGCAGGAGTTAGCCTATAGAGTGGATTGGTAGGTATCAAGAAAACACTAAAAGCACTTAGTTTCTTATCCATGCTGTGGGTCCAGACACAGCAATGAATTGCCCCTATGCTTCAGGTAGTGTGGGTGGTTCTCAAGTGTCACTATCTGCTAGGTATTTGAGCTAGTTATCCAACTCTTCATATACTTGATTTTTTTTTTTCACTTCTCCCATGTGGCAACAAGCTTTTTGCGTCAGCTTTGCCCAGCTGGAAGCAGAGAGGTTTCTCTAGAGACCCTGCGTGTGGTTAGAGAGCAGGAAAAACTAGAGCATGCTTCTAGCATGGAGGGCAGTCACGAATGTCCCATGCTATATAGCCACAAATTTCTTTCTAATTGGGCACACCTGCTGGTGGTGGTGCTTTTAACCTCAAAGCACCAAGAAAGGGGTTGAAGAGAGACTCTACTTGCCAGTACAGAAGTGTTTCCAAGGATTAGTCTCTTATTAGTTTTCTGTGAGCTTAGCCAGTGCTTCTTAACAGGCTTTTCTCCCCTATTAGTAATTGCCTCCTTCCTCCTGCTGTGGCATCCTAATAATTACATCAAGCACAGCAGAGCTTGCAGCCTCAGGCTTTGGATAGGTCTGTCCATCTCCTCCTTGTGGAGTAGCATTGTGCTAAAGAATCCAATGTTCAGTTCTCTTGGCTTTTCTTTAAATAGAAGAAAAGCTTTGTCCTTATTCTTAACCTGACTGATTTATTTAAAACTGAACAAAGCAGTCAGAGACAGCAGGTAGCCATCCAGATATTGTTAAGAGGGCTTTTTTGAGTGTTTTAGTAAGCAACTTGATTTCTAGACTCTTTAGATAATGGGGGGGGGGCAGTAGTCACTACTGATTTGGGGTTTCTCCACACTCCTCCCTGTGTTAAGGCATGGGTACTAGACTATAGAAATATCAAGTGACTTCCCCAGGTTGCCCTGCTGAGACAGATACAGAACCTGGCTTACCAGAATTACCTGGTGCCTTTCCATACTGCTAGAAGTTTCTGTATGTTTTTGAGCTGATGTTACTGGTGACTTGCTCATACAGAAAGTCGTGGTTCTCAAAGTGCACTGAGAAATCGGCAGGAACGATCTTATTGTCTTGGGCAGTGTTCTTTGTTTTGGAGCCAAACAGTGCTAGAAAAAGGCTTGTCAGTGCTGCAAGAAGGAGTTGCATTCCTGTCCTGTGGTGAAGGACGATGCCCTACCAAGGGAAGCATCAATAAACAGGTGTTGCACAGCTGTGGAGCCTGGAGCTCAGGATCCTTTCCCAGCTCCACTGCACGCATGTTGGATAAATGGCTCTTGTTTCATCTTCCCTAAAATGATATTTCTTGCTCTTGCAGTGGAGGCAAGGATAAAAGACTTAATCAGTGGATCAGGTTAAACAATGAGGAAGTATTGAGTATTGCTCCAGTGAGCAACAGAGCTGCTGGAGGCAGAGAAGGCCTGGTATGGCAAAGTGCATAGTTATTCCTCAGCTATTTAATTTTGCCATTCCTTTCTTTATTTTTCTGTCAGCTACTCCAAATTCTTTATTCCTTCCTCCTCTCCCGTACTCCCCGCTCCCCCTATAACGACAGCCTCATTTGAAGAATTCTGTAGGAAGTCTGCTTAGTTTTATATCTGCCAGCTGCCTTCCTCTTTTCTTCATCTCTACAGCTAAG